TCGTTGCCTGTTACTGCTCTCCTCTCCTCTCGCTGCCTGTTACTCCTCCTGTCTCCTCTTTCCTCTTGCTGCCTGTTACTGCTCCTCTCTCCTCTTGCTGCCTGTTACTGCTCTCCTCTCCTCTCGCTGCCTGTTACTGCTCTCCTCTCCTCTCGCTTCCTGTTACTCCTCCTGTCTCCTCTCTCCTCTTGCTGCCTGTTACTGCTCCTCTCTCCTCTCGTTGCCTGTTACTCCTCCTCTCTCCTCTCTCCTCTCGCTGCCTGTTACTCCTCTCTCCTCTCCTCCCGCTGCCTGTGTCTCTCGGGTGTTAATTGCACCTCAATCTCTCTCTGTTTCCCTCAGAGTGACCCAGAGTTTGTGCAGTGGAAGAAGGAGCTGACGGAGGCTTTCACTGAGGCCCAGAAGCTGCTCCGCCGGGCACCTAAGGTCATTGGCAAGACCCGCACAGCGGTGGTGGAGCTCTCCAAACCACAACTCACTCATCGCAACAGCAACGGGCTGTAGAGCCTCCTTCCCATCCCTCCATCCTCTCTCCTCACAGGAGCACACCCTCACCCCAGCACTCAAGTGTAAATATTCAGTACTCTTAACATATCTTTGGAGTACCAGCAGCAGTGCAAACTGTCATTTGCTCCCCCTGGTGGATAGCAATGGGACTGCAGTTTTAATTTTGTCTCCCTCTGGTGGATTGCAATAGGACTGCAGTCTTTCTTTGGCCCCCCCTGGTGGATTGCAGTGGGACTGTAACTGTCCTGTGTATTTACTGTTGAGTCTTTGTGGGGGAGATGGGGCACGAATTTCTACTACTACCTTGGTTACTTCTGTATGGAAAAAATCCCCCATTCCCTTCCATCACCCTTCACCTTTCCACCCCACCCATTCATCTTATTAATGATTGCTGTTGGTCAAACCTCTCTTCTAGACTGCTTCCTCAAAGACATGGCCTGAGATAGCACATTGAGCTCAGACAGAACTAGAGCTGGACTGTCTTGACCTTTTTATCTATTTATTTTTTATTTTAAGAATTCTGATTTTTAATAAAGAAACTGATCTGATAGTAAGCAGTTTGCACACTGCCCCTCCCCCTTACAGCTGCAGTGTCTCTGGTGCATAATGTTCGTGCGTGGTCTTCAGCTGGTGTCATCGCTCGGTGTGTGGCCACACTGCTGGGGTATCAGGACTGCAGATACAAGCACAATGCCAGAGAGGCTTCAACACTAAGCCCATCTCTGGCCTATGATCGCTTTTTTAAAATAATGTAAGGCTGCTGCTGTTGTCAGCAGGAGGACAATGAAACAAATAGTGGAGATGATTTTCTGGGGGTTGGAGGTAGCTGTGCGCCCTCAGTCCTGATCTCTCAAACATACTGCAGATGCCTTGAGGAGTAGGCTAGGATTGTATGCTTATTCCCCAAGCTACCCTACCCCTCTCACACCTGGCTTTGCCAGGTTACCCCCATTTTCCTGGGCTGGAGCTGCAGCTGTTTCCCAGATTTCATGACTTACAGTCTGTCTCTGCACTGGAAGAGAGAGACCAGAGGAAGGTGGTCTTCACCATTGCTTCAACTGAATGGAGGGGGAGGTGGACCGCACCACTGCTTCAACTGGATGGAGGGGGAGATGGACAGTACCACTGCTTAAGCTGAGAAAAGGGGGAGGAGAATTGCATCACTGCTTAAACCCAGCGGAGG